TATATATATATATATATAAAAGAAGGCCTATCCACAATTTATTTATGCAAAACAATGCATTTATGACTGCAAAATGCACACACTCCTTATTGACATCAAAATGGTTTAGTTTGGTTAATTGAAAACCTGACACTTACCTGAAGGCTGGTGAGATGAGGTGAAAACAGTTTAAGTTGAGGGGAAACCCCAGGCATGGTCTGTGGCCCAGAAGTTTCTGAAAGACTGGCCCATCTATTTGTAGACTTGAACATGATTTTGTTAAAATTTTGTTTTTTTGCAAAACAAGCCTTTGTTTGAGATGTGTTTAGCAGTGAATCTGAGATACAGATACTCCTCAGCTGCCTTCGAAGTCCTAACAGTCAACAAGACCCAATAGGAATCCTTCAGTTTGACAACCTGGGATGTCCACCATTGAGTTTGAGGATGGCAATGAGAAGCATCGACAACCTTGCGGCCACTGTTCAAGGCAGCTGCCTCAACAACTGAGGTTCTGAACATGGCCCACTCGGACTCAGTGCCCACTGTCTCAGTTGGGATGTGGTTAAACTTCTCCCGGTGGTGTGAGTAGAAGATCTTTCTGATGCTTTCTTTTGCCAGGCATTCCCTGCAAACCCTCACTACACATTTGTCTACTGGGTCTGTCTGTCATCTTCCCCACCATCTGATCCAACTCACTACCAGGTGGTGATCAGTTGACAGCTCCTCTCTTCACCCGAGTGTCCAAAACATACGGTTGCAGATCAAATGACATGACTACAAAGTCACTCATTGATCCAGGACCTAGGGTGTCCTGGTGCCACATGCACTTACGGACACCCTTATGTTCGAAAATGGTGTTTGTGACGGGGAAACGGTGACTAGCACAGAAGTCCAACAACAGGACACCTTTCAGGTTCCGATTGGAGAGGCTGTCCCTCCCAATCACACCTCAGGTCACACTGCTGTTACCCATGTGAGCACTGAAGTCCCCCCTTGCTAAAGAGTCCAAGGCCAGATACTCTGAACTGCCGTTTAGTGCATAGGCACAAACAATTGTCAGAGCCCGTCACCTTACCCAAAGGTGCAAGGAAGCTACCCTCTCATCTATTGGCCCAAGTGCCTACACATAGACACCAAGTTAGGAGATTAAAAGTAAACCCACACCAGCTTGACACCACTCACCATGGGCTACTCCACAGTCGAATAAAGTCCAGCCCCTCTGGAGGAGATTGGTTCCAGAGTCAATGCTGTGCATCGAGGTGAGCCCAACTATATCTAGTCGGTACATCTCAACCTCACGCACCAGCTCCTTGCCTACCAGACAGGTGACATTCAATGTCCCAAGGGCCAGCTTTGGTAAGCCTGGGTCAAAGCACCAAAGCCCCCGCCTTTGGCTACTGCCTCATATGGTACGTCCTGCAGGTGGTGGGCCCACAGGCAGGCAAACCCATGTAGCTTGTTCGGGCTGAGCCTGGTCAGGTCCCACGGGTAGAGACCGGGCCACCCGGTGCTCGCCGACGAGCCCCTCCCTTATGCCTGGCTTCAGGGTGGGGCCCCGGTGACCCATATCCAGGCAAAGGACACTGAGCTCCTTGATTTAGTATGTCCAGCACAAAAACTCCTCCACCATGCTAAGGTGATGATTCAGCAGAGTATTTTCAACTAATTCAAGCTTTTGCTTCAATATTAAATTTAAGCATTTTTTCAGATGTGGAAAATACAAAGAATCATTACAAACCCACTGAAGAGGTTTCACTTGAGCCTTTTCTGTCATGAATGCTTGGAAGGATTGCACCCCAGGTGCAGAACTGAAAGGAAATTGATACAAAAAGGTTGCAAAAAAGGCTTTATTTAATAAAATCAAAAGAATGGCATGGCAGCAGAAGATCAAAACAAGAATCTAGGGCAATCCTTGTCCTCAAGGGCCACAGCTCTGCATGTTTTACTTGTTTCTCTGCTTCGACACACTTGATATGAATGAATAGATGATTGCAGTACGGAGGACCAAAACTGACAATTGATGATTGCAGTACGGAGGACCAAAACTGACATAATTAGAAATAAAAACAGAATTATATGAACCACTAAATAAATACACTTAAAATGCACCAATTAAATAAAAAAGGAGAACTTTATCTCCTGTTTCATATTTTAATTAGCTTTCATATTTATTTTTCCAGGTTAGTTCCAATAAATTAGACCATATATTTGAACACATAATTTAACTTTTATTTTTTTTAATATATATTAATTGTTTTTCCAGTTATTGCATTTGTGTGTATTAAATGTTTATACTTAATTTTTTCCAGCAAGTCTTTTTATTTCTGTGTTGCACGCTTGTGCTGCTGCAGTTTAGCTAAAAGTTTAAAGTTTAGTTTAAAACAAAGGCAAGGAGGAAAACATTACATGTGCATTTGTTTTTAACTAAACTTTAAGCTAAACTCTGGCAGCACAAGCATGCAACACATAGAAATAAAAAGACTTGTTGGACAAAATTATAAAAATAATTCAGTTTAAGAACTCAAGAGACACAAATGCATGTACAAGTAAAAGGAAAACTGTAATATATATATTATAAACATTAAAATTTCAATTGTGTTAAAATATATAATTTATTGGAACTAAGCTGGAAAAATAAATATGAAGGTCAATTACATTATAAAACATGAAGTAAAGTTCTCCTTTTTAATATATTTTGTTCATTTTAAATGGTTCATTTATCTATTTCAGCTTTTATTTCTAATTATGGCAGTGTCGGTCCTCCATACTGCAGAACATGGAAGAGGTAGTTCAGTGACTGAATCAGGTGTGTTGGAGCAGGGAAAAATGTAAAACATGCGGGCTGCGGCCCTCCAGGACCATGATTGCCCACCCCTGATCTAGGATCATCACAAGAAACTAACACTAACTATGGAGAACATGAAAACAACAACAAAGGTTTGACACAGAATAAGGACAGAGAACATAATATAAAGGCAAACTAATGAGCAAAAACAAAAAACACCTGGGAGAGAAACACAAGGAACAGGTGAGAGAGGGAGGGACTGGAGCAAAGACAGGCAGTAGGAAGTAAAAAGAATTACAGTACAGTTTAGATATTTCCTGTAACAGGAGGAGCCAAAACACCCGGGAGGTAAACAGCAGGAGCAGGACCAACTTGACATGATGCACTGTGATTGGACGATTCCAGCAGAGCAAGAAGAAAGTTCCCTGATTTAGTCTGAGCTCTTATAAAATTTCTCTCACTGCTCAAGCTGCTTTATCTCAACGCCTGTCGGTTTCAATTGCTTTATTTATTTTAGCCTGAAAAAAAAAATCTTTTTGATTCAGATACGTCTCTTCTCTGCTCTTTGATGGGAAACAGGAGAAGAGGACGGATGAACTTCCACCTACGCCGTGACGCAAAACATCCAGGAAAACAATCAGAAAGGGAAAGTGTGCAGTTCAAAGCGCTTTCATACTCCAGCTGTTAGCATCTGTTAAGGTGGATTGTAAAAATATGTTTTGTCATTTAAATGACCTTATATGCAATGCTAAATTGAAAAAATGATATTTTAGAACAAGCAGGAGACAGAAGAATGACTTTCCTCCAGCTGCTTCCTTTTGGACTCTGTGTGACTGTGCATCTCGTATTAGGTAATATTAATAATTTTTAAATAACTTCTATACAAAGTGGAAAATTATGAATTAATACTTTTCTGTAATGTTTGCTTTGTACAGGAGGTGATGTAAAACTAAATCTTGACTGTAACAATGACATGGAAAACATTATTTGCCAATTTGAGGCGAACTGTTTTGAATACAATTTAACCATCCAGGATGACTTTGACCAAAAGTGAGTTGGTTTTATTTAACATTTTCATGTTTTAAGCTTTTTTTTATTTTGTTTATGTTAAAGATCTAACAGAAAGTTTTCTTCTCCACAGGAAATACTCCTGCCCTCTTCAGCAGTGCAACAATAAGTGCTGCTGCTCTAAGAAATTAATTTTTACTTTTGATGACACTTTTACTGTGAAGGTCTGCAGAGGAAACAACGAAGTTGTGAAAATTATCAACATCACGGAGAGCTGTATGTTGAGTTTTATAAAACATCTTCAGATTTTTCAGATGTTCTCAGAGCAGGTTAAAGTTTAACTTTCCTTTCTTCTGTTGTTACAGTTAAAGCTAACACTCCAACAATTGTCTCAGTGAAAGAATCCAATGGAAACGTGGAGGTCAGGTGGAAAACAAACATGAAAGAATGGTTCAATACTTGGATTACTGCTGAAGTGACTGTTTATAAGCAAGGAGACAAGACGAACCAGGTGAGGTGGTTTGTTTGAAACTAGACCACAGATTTGATTAAATCAATCTGCGAACAGATAAGGTCACATCTCGCTCTCTTTCTGTGTGTGTGTGTATCTTTTGTTTATTTTTGTTGTACCAGGTATCCAAAAATGTCATGCCAGCTACATATGAGGCACTGCAATACCATGTAATAAATAAAAATCTGGATTCAGATGCAACATACATGATCAGAGTGAGAAGTTTCACAAAATGGAATAAAATATACAGTGACAGCAACGTGTTGGCATTTAAAACCAGTAAGTATTCATCAGGT